CTCTCCCATGTAATTCCCATGTTCTCACATGGAATTCCTGTGCTCTCCCATGCAATTTCCATCCTCTCACATGTATTTCCATGCTGTAGCATCTATTCCTGTGCTCTCCTCTGTATTTCTGTGCTCTCATGTAATTCCCGTGCTCTCCCATATACCCCTGTGCTCTCCCATGTAATTCCCATGTTCTTACATGTAATTCCTGTGCTCTCCCATCTGTTCCCGTGTTCTCCTATGTATTTCTGAGCTCTCATGTAATTCCTGTGCTCTCCCATGTAATTCCCATGTTCTCACATGTATTTCCATGCTCTTACATGTAATTCCTGTGCTCTCCCATCTGTTCCCATGCTCTCCTATGTATTTCTGTGCTCTCATGTAATTCCTGTGCTCTCCCATGTAATTTCCATCCTCTCACATATATTTCCATACTCTTACATGTAATTCCTGTGCTCTCCCATCTATTCCCATGTTGTCCCATGTATTTCTGTGCTCTCATGTAATTCCTGTGCTCTCCCATGTAATTCCCATGTTCTCACATGGAATTCTTGTGCTCTCCCGTGTATCCCTGTGTTCTCCCGAATCTGGGCTCCCTTTCTCACCCAAACCTGAACTGCCTGGCCTGCTCAGGAGGAAACTCCAGTGCTGGCTGCAGGACGGGGGCTCCCAGCAGGGAATTTCCACTTCCACAACATCCACAGGGCCAGGAGAGGGAGAGGAGCCCGCTGGAAAAACAATCCAGCATTGCTGGGAGCAGGTGCTGGGATAAAACCCCAACCCCGCCGCCCTCTCCAGAGCCACGGCCACGCTCCTCCGCCTTATCATTCCTCCTCTTTTTCCTAAAGCAGCTGTTTTCAGCCCACTTAATTTGTTCCTTTTATCTATATTAAATTACCATTTCCCCCCTTCTCTCTTCTCCCCCCGTAAAATGTCACCGGCGCAATAACTGCGGCCACAACTCTCTCTCTGTCTCTCTTCCTCCAGCCCCCCCCCGCTTTTATTTTATTTTATTTTATTTTTATTTTTTAATGTCGTTAGGGAGAGATTACACAGGAGTAAATGGGAAGCTGATCATTGCTAACCCGGTTAGAATTCCCGTCATGCGGAACATTAGAAATTATGCCTCTTTGAGGAACCGTATTTAGCAGAGACATGAAAGAAAAGAAATTACCTCCTCCTCGAGCCCACGGATTGGAATCCATTAACCCGCCGGCACCGGGACACGCTCGTGCCTCTGGAGCGGGTCAAGGGCAGCGCTGGCCCTGGGGATGGAGCTGGGATGCAGTGGGATGGGGTGGGATTCTGCAGGATGGGGTGCTGTGGGATGGGATTCTGTGGGATGGGATGCTGTGGGATGAAATTCTGTGGGATGGGATGCTGTGGGATGGGATTCTGTG